TCATGCACGCGCACATTTTCACGTCGTGCGAAACCGACGCGCGATTGAATCGCGTCGATTTCATGTAGGACAAATCCCGACGAAGAGATCACATATCCGTCGATTGCTCCCTACGGCGAACTACGTAAGTCGTTCACGCACGGACGCGCGATATGGGATTTAGTCCACCGATGCCGATTTCGATCACCTGCCGGCGTCTCCGATTCGCCTGCACGGCAAAACAGTTACGCGACCGGCCGGCCGGCCGGCCGGCTACTGGGCCGCGAGGTTTAATAACGCGCGAGTTACGGTAGATTTAGCGCGCGATAACATCCGGCAGTCGTTAACGTCGCGTACGCACCGCGCCGCGGCACACTCGGTGTCGTCGAAGATCACACAGCTCCTCTCGGAATCGTTGCTTGATCACTCGCCGATTGTTCTCCTCTCGCGAAAACTCGCTCTATCTCCGTCTCACTTCTGCATCTACAGTCCCATTTGTCTCTCATACTTATTTTTAGCTTCTTCTTCTTCTTCTTCTTCTTCTTCTTCTTCTTCTTCTTCTTCTTCTTCTTCTTCTTCTTCTTCTTCTTCACGTATTTTATATGGAAATCTTCTCTCGGGTGTAAAGAGGTACCTACCCGTTAATTGAATAAATAAATGTACGAGTTGAAGGCCTGACTTCGCGTATACGCTCATCGAATGAATCCGAAAGGTTATTCGTTGTAATTGTGTCCGCTTTGCTTTCTTACTGAAATCTGCAGAGTCCCATCGCTCTCTCGATCGTATGCGTTGTTAATATCTTTCGACACGTCGCGCACAGTGGTGCGCTGAGGCGGGAAAAATTGATTTTGTCAACTTTCAAATTTTTGTTTAATTGTACTACAGAAATAATGTTTAAAGATCTAATATATCAATACTAAATGATTTTTTTCTTTTAGTCTTCCACTTATTAATATTTTCAATCGACAAAGTTTCGTAGTGGCAATCGACAAAATATCGTAGTAAGTAGTATTTGATTTTGACGATTGTGTTTATATATTTTTTGATCAATAAATCATAATTATACTTATTATAAAAATTCAAATTAACTTTGAATCTTCTTTAATAAACAAGAAATAAATTTTTGATTATATTTCTGCAGAAATATTGCTTAAAAAAATGTCTTTTAAAAAGAAAAGAAAATAAAATTGGACGAAGCATTTCCTTGTTACCCAGAATGCTTCCCCAAAATGAGATGTTTGTCTAAAATGGAAAGTAATCTTTCTAATCTAAAGAAACATCAACATCCAGCTGCGCATATTTGCGCAACTGAAAGAAATTCGAATTTATATTCGGAGATATTATGCTTGAATTATAGACTTATACATACACATAGGCTATCATTCAAGAAAAATTATATCATTCAAGAAAAATTATATCATTCAAGAAAAATTAGTCGTTTAACTACATATGAAGACATACTGCATCAATTATTAATCTCATCTGATCCATTTAGTTTACGAAAGGAACCAGCAGAAAATATTTTGCCATTAAGTGAGGATGCGAAATCTCTTCTCGAAGACGAAAAAGTTGATTGAGATAGATTAAAAAATTTTTTAATTTATATATATATATATGTATAATATAATATATATAATAATATATAAATATATTTCAATAATAAATATATATATATATATATATAAATAAAAAGAAATGAAAAAATAAAAATAAAAACTTAATTAAATTTTAATTGACAAATTGTTATCTTTAAATTAAAAAAAATCATAATTCTATCTGTTTAGATTAAAAAGTTACATAATTTTTTCCGAAACTATGGCGCCACAACTGTGCGTCGTCCTGTGCGTGAAAATTGAGAAAGCAATCTCGCTTCAGTGCGCGGTACCTGTCGTTCGGAGAAAGCTCTCGTTAGTCCGTAGACACCGTGTATATGACGGGCGTATCCTCGGCACATATATAGTACGTACGTTTCGCGAAACGCACGTACCGGCACCTGTGCCAGCGATACTTACGTTACCACCGGGAGCACCGACGTTACAATTTCCTACCGAACGAGAAAGGCCGATTGCAATTTCTGCTTGACCGAGTTAGCTCTTGCGTATCCCATTTAAATCAACGAGTGTTGCCCTCGCGGGGAAGAAAAAGAAGATGTTACGTGGTGGCTCGCGTCTGAGCGTGGCGCCGTGACCATTAAGACCATTAATTCGCTCCAGAATGGTCAAGGTCCCGCGAAACGAGGTTTAAGGACCCGCGATGTTCCGTGGAGGCGCGCTTTCGCGCTTTTCTCCTTAATGCCAGGTTCACTCGTATGAATCGGAGGAAATCGTGGCCGACGTGGAGTCTCGCGACATCGAAGCATGGGAGATCTCGCTCGGAGTCGTATCTCCTCGCTTGACGGAGAAACGAAAGGAAAGCAAGTTCGACAGTTCGCGCGAGTTCAAAGTTCGAGCTCTCAAAGTCGAACCCAGTGCATGGAGTCGAACATGGAGGAGGTCCTCGAGACGTCCTTGCGCGCGTTACGTAAGGGAGAAATATCGACGCGAACGCTCGGGGGGGGGGGGTCTACTCGCCTCTGTTCGGCGGTGCGCGACGTTATGATGACCGTAACCACGCGAATTGACATTGCGCCGGAAACGCGCGGAATTTCACGTAACTGAAAACTGTAACGGAAGCAACGGAGGTAATGGAGCGGGCGGAGGAGATGGTGCAGGAGGCGCTTGTCGGAAATTTTTCTTTCGGCTCGCTTCAACGACAGCCACGGATAACCCATCGTTACCTTCGAATCGCGCGCTTATCGCATTAGCGAGATGGCTTATTAACTAGAGTGGAACGGAATTACGGTAACGCGAACGCCTAGTCCGCCGTTACGTCTAACCGCGCTTAAACTGCACGAGCCTACCTGCCCCCGAACTCCTTTTCCCCTCTTCTCTTTGTCTTTTCTCCCGAGCGTCATCGATCGCCGACCGCCACTGTGTTTATCAACGCTGCTTGTAATATCGCGTCCACGTCGATAATCTACGGTCGTCCTACTCGAAATTTCCCCGCTTGAGGACACACGCGGGAGAAGAAGCTTTGGGGGAAACGCTCGAGAGGCGTAAACCGCCGCGCGTAAAATATTCCACCGCGTGTTTTACATATTTTCCCATGCACGACGAGCGAAGCGATTGGTTTGTGTCATCGTAGCGACGTGTCGAAGCGTTCCGTCTGTCAGAGAAAATCATCTTTCAATTTAGTCTTAATTTGAAACTCCACTCGATGTCCTCAATTATGTTTTCGTATTTTTTTTAATATAGAATGAGAACAGCATCGGAAAAAGAGGGAGAGGAGAGAGAGTTCTAATCTCTGGTGGATAACAGTTTCATCAAGTTCCTTCTCTCTCTTTCTCCCTCCCTCCCTCCCTCTCTCTCTCTCTCTCTCTCTCTCTCTCTCTCTCTCTCTCTCTCCATCTCTCTCCTCTTCTTACGAGAGACTAATAACCTAGATCCACCTACCACATATTTTCCTCGTGATTGACAATTATTTTATGTATTCGCATTAGCAAACGGGGTCACGAGGCCCCCCGTCGCAAAATTCGGAGAATCGCATTCTTCGGCCAGATTTATTCTCCCGTTAGCGTCGAGAGACGCGAAGCCGCGAGCCGCTGCAGCGATTTTGCGCCTCGCGGCGGCTCTTTCGCAAAATTTCGCTCGAGAATACGAAGCGTCACGTCGTGGCTACGCTCGGAAGCCGCGTTTGTTTAAAATACGATAAAGCACGGTTATAGGTGCCGTCGGTCGTGCCGTATCGTTTGGTCAACGTGAATGATTAGCGCGCTGATCCTCGTGCTTCTCTAACAGCTTCGGCGACTCCAAATTGTCGCGCTCTTGAGAGCCGAGGGAGTTAGAAATGGAGCATTTGGTGCAGGACAAAACGAAAACAAACACGGAGAAAATGAAAACGACACCTGTGTGTAAAGTTACTCCACTTCTGATGTACTTTTCTGCGCGATAGGTCGCGAGTCCGATGCTGAAAAAGGACGAGAGAGTCGCGCGTTTTTACGTCGCGCGTAAATCTCTATTGGGCTTTTACGGCCGTTCTTTCGCGCATTGAATTCTGCAAGGCGTCGCATGTAGGCGAGATTGCGAGATTGCGAACGTCGCGTCGCAAGGAAGGAGCGGACTTTCCTCGGACCGGTATGATATTCCTGGATTTATAATGCACAGAGAATCGCAGAGTTAACATTGCGAGAGTTAACTTTCTCTCCTCTTCTCGCCGTTTTCAAACGTTACGAAATTATGTTAAAACGTCGCGACTCCGATTAGTCCAAGAAACGCGTATTAGTCCAAAAAAATATCCCAATTTGCGCGGATCATTATGCACAGGAGACCTCGTAATGAACGTTGCTTTCCCTCGTTCTCTCGTCGCTCTGAAACGTTATGAAATGACCCGTGTTTGTGTGAGAAAACGTCGCAACTCCGACTCGCGCTCGCGCTCGTTTACTCTTACAAATATCTCAAGTCGTGCAAATCGACACGGATTCGAATCCCCGAGTATCTCATCGATCGACCTCCCATTTTCGGACGTAACAAAAAAGAAAGAAGAAGGAAAGAGAGCGGTCGACCGGCTAGGAAGTTAATCGTATCTCCGCCCGCGGCGAGGACAGTCGCCGGTTTTCTGATGGTACGATCGAGATCGCCGTCGATGCACCGGCGATCATGCTGAAGTGGGTGCATTATTGCCCGTTGCCGAAAGATCGTGAGATCGCGTCCGAGGACGCGAAGATGGTTGTACCAGGTGGTGGCGACGCGACGGAAGAAAAGGCGGACGAAAGAAAGGCGAGCGAGCGAAGAAAGGACGGCGGCGGCGGCGGCGGCAGCGGCGGCGGCACGGTGCGAAGTGTGCGAAACGCGAAAACCGCCACGCCGGACGCTATCATGAGGAGATGCTTCCGGTTCGGGGTAAGGAGCGAAGGAAGTCGAACTTGACAGTCGGCTGCACACACCGGTCGGTCTCTCTCTCTCTCTCTCTCTCTCTCTCTCTCTCTCTCTCTCTCTCTCTCTCTCTCCCTCTCTCCCTCTCTCTCTCTCTCTCTCTCTCTCTCGAGGTCGGCGCTGCTTCCTCCGACACGTTCGCGCGTGAACGCCGAAAGATCGGCGGGAGAGACCGCGTTCTCTCCGCCGGGAACGAAACGGCGAATTAACCGTAGCGAAACTCGTCGTTCGTCGTTCGAATCTGCACGATACACTCGCGTGCAACTCGCGACTTGGCGAGTCCATTTCTCGGGACAGTAATAGATTCATATTTAAGTGTCATTTCTTTTCTCAATCTGGTTGCATCTCCTCGTAAAAGGAAGAAGGATAAGGATGAATATATTCGACAGTACTCGTCGAATAAGTGTATTTCACTTTTGCTTTTTTAGTGTAACTAATCATTTATTAATGACGATTGCGCGTCCTTGACTACAACTATCGAGTGGCAAGGTTGAAATTGACTTAATCAGACTTGATTCCTAATCGATGTTGGAATCGCTCTCGAGTCTCACTAGCTGTAGCAGCCGGTAACAATAGACACACTCTCTCTCTCTCTCTCTCTCTCTCTCCCCCCCTCTCTCAAGATATTATCGAGAAGAAAAGAAATTCCTGGGATAATTTGCATTACGCACATACCTCGGTGAGATTAACGTGGATAATAAAAAAGATTGTCTTGTCATCGTGTCTCGCGTACCTTTCCGTATTGCGACTTGAACTCTAATACGAAAGGATAGATAATTCGCCAGCTGGAGACTGCAGGCGGCTGATGAACGTGGTTAGCGGAACTAGCCTTTATCGTCGTGGCGATCCTTACGGATTATGTGATTACGCGGCATGCATGATGCGTCGGAGGCATCGCTAACTATGCGTCTCATGGTTCGCAGGGTTCGGATCCGAGGGTAGCGACCTGCCGAGGAAAGCTGCAGAACAAGCGAAGTAAGCTCAATCAGGAGATCAACAAGGAGCTGCGGCTGCGAGCGGGCGCGGAAAATCTCTTCAAGTAAGCTTCGCTCGAAGATCGCGCGCGCGCGCGCGCGCGACATAACCGCAGCGCGCGATCGTCCGATCGTCATTAATCGTGCCACTATAATCGTGCGATCCCCGGTGCGTTGCAGGGCGACGACGAACAGAAAACTGAAGGAGACGGTCGCCTTGGAGCTGAGCTACGTCAACTCGAATCTGCAGCTGCTGAAGGAACAGCTCGCCGAGCTGAACAGCTCAGTGGAGCTCTACCAGAATGTCGACGGGTAAGTACACACACGGCGAGATATGCCAGTGCGGGAGAATGCATATGCGCGCTGCATCGAACGGTATTCTCCTTTCAGCGACGAGCCCGTTATGCCGATGATACCATTGGGACTGAAGGAGACCAAAGACATTGACTTTCGGGATCCGTTTAAGGTGAGTCGACGCGCGATCGCGCAAACTTTTTCCGAGTCTAACGAGTCGCTTGACGTCGCTCGTCGAGCGCGCGCATTCATTCGAGCGCCGGCACGTCCGGATCATCTTGGAAATCTTCCGCTGTCCTCTCCACCTCTGTCGCTCTGACGCTCCTCTGGCCTCGTTTCGCAGCAGCAGCAGCAGCAACGGCGGGATCTTCGGTTATCTTGAAAAGATCCAAGATATCCGTGGGTGGGCCGATCTCGAGGAGAGCGCGTCGGGAGGTCACCGGTGGCCGAACCGTGATGACCTTTGACTCGCGTCTGCCTGGCTCTTCTTTCTTTCTGGCCGACGTCGGCTCGGCCCTGCTCTGCGCGATTATCATCGTGGACGGCGTCAGACGGGCCATGCTGATCACCAGGCTTCCGGTGCTCGTGTTCCGTTGGACCTTGCTTTTCTCGACCGATATCTCGCAGGGTAGGCTTAGCTGTAGAATCTTTCCTTTCACGGTAACTCGCACGTAGGTCGGGTTTACGTCTACGTCGATGTGAGAGGTGTCCAAGTACCTGCGAATTCGAGAAATCACCGATTCCGAGCTATTTGAATGAATCCTCGAAATGACACGTGGAAAAATTGTGTGACGGCAGAAAAAAGAAGAAAAGAAACAAAGATCACTCGCTACGGCTAAAGTTGTCTGTCTCTACCTGTAAACGGCGACTTCGAGCACTACGACATTCGGATCGTCCTCGTCGTTTAATTTGAACGGAACCTTCGGCTGATTTATATTGTAAGGTCTTCCGTCCGGAGCGAACAACTTTGGCACGCGTTTGGGGAGATCGGTTTTCGGCTTGTCGGAAGAGCGGCTCTTTCTCTCTTGCTTCCTGCCGAATCGTTCGGCAATAGCAATCCTGTCTTCCGGTGTATGGTAACTAGGCTGCTTCCAAAAACGTTCATCCTCCGATGATTCGTCATCCTCTTTTGTGTCTGCGTTTCCGTTCCGCTTGTTCTTTGCGCACTCCGGTCGCTCTTCCTCGTTCTCCTTTGCAGCGCTCTAAAAGGAGATATTACGCGCTCTAATTTACGTCTTTGCTCGATTCGAGCGTCTCGAATGTTTCTCGCAATATTAGAAAAATGTCTCGCATAAGTTGCTTATTCGACGTTCAATCGTCCTTGCGATTGAAATGAAACAAAAGTCTGCGAAAGAGATTGCAAAGATATGTCGATGTGCAACTTCCCTAAGATGGCGGCACGTTCCACGATCGCGCACGAATAATAATAATTCGTCGGCGGAAGTCGTTTCTTCGTGCTGCAAATTACACGCCGGTTCAAGAATCTTGAATCACATGATATGACACGGCGCGGCGCGGCGCGACATTGTCAGATTCGTGACGAACGCTCGCCGGGAGAGAACTCACCGTCTCATTTATCTCGGTGATTTGGAGTGTAGTGTCACGACGGCGACGCGCCTGTCGAAGCAGTCGGTTTTTCTCGTAGCATCGATACGCCTCGATAACGTCGTCTCGCGCTCGCGCCTCCACTTGCAACGCCTTGATGCGCTCCGATCTTTCAATCTCCTTCATGTCGAGCTCGCGCAATTGCGGCAAAGTCGCCACGACGTACTCCCTGTAGTATTCGTAGTCCGTGCACGGGTTGCCCATTAGGATCAGCTGCTCCAGGTTCTCGTTGCACCTGGCGCGTGAGACGTGAGGCCGACGAATCGAATGTGATTTATTGCTTCTGCGAGAACGCTGACGAGTGTCATAATCATGCGAAATCGGTGGAGAGCGGCGCGTTGTGTCGATTGTCGATGCGGAAACGTTCACGGCGCTTGCTGCTTGCTGCTTGCTTGTTACGCGAGACTTGCGAGCGATTATGATTACGAGAACGACAAATTGCGAGCAAGCGCGCGTTTGACAGGCTGTTTGACGATCAAATATGACAGGCGGGAAAACGGACGAGTGCTCGTGACAGTTTAGTATCCGCTTGATACTCCGAATATGTTCGGAATATAAATTGAAGAGCGTTTCGTTACGCTTCGATCTTAGATGAGATGCCGACACAGTCAGACTTCAGTGAATTACCGAAGCCATTAATCCTGAGAATACTCATTATCGAGATACGGGATACAACGATAAAAATGTACAAAAGGAAAAGATGTAAAAGGATATATACCTGAGCTTCTCCACGCTTTGCAGATTTCCGATAAAATTGACGGTGAGATCCAGCTTCTTCAAGCTCTCCAGACCTTCCAGATTCTCGATAACCTCGATGTTATTGAGAGCCAGGTTCAAGTACTCCAACTTCTTCAGCATATTTAGATTCTCGATCTTCGATATGAGATTGTGCTGCAGGAGGAGGATCTTGAGATCCCTGCAATGCCTGTCTATCAGTTCGATTTTATCGATATTCTCTTGGTGCAAGGCTATCTCCTCCAGCGTGGATATCTCGCCCTCGTTGTGCTCCGAGCGCTTTCCTATTAGTTCCAAAGTGATCTTCACCATCTCTGCGTCACGTCACGTTGTTACTTCCTTTTACAACGAGAGGCCAACTCGCAATTTCTCCGGGTTACCTCGGCTCGAAATGCGCGTGCACGTTAGCCAAGAGCCGCCTGGCAGTTGCTAGGAAGATATCGATTCAACAATGTCAGTCGCGCGCCACGCGGCTCCACGTGTTACGTGTACGGCGCACGTGCCGATCACCACGAGATACATAACCGGCCCTTTTCCCTCTTGCAGGACTTCATCTTGGAGCACTACAGCGAGGATGGTGAAAACTACGAAGAAGCTATAGCCGACCTGATGGAGACTAGACAAGTAAGGAAATGACGCGCGCTATTTTTCATCGCAAGAATAATCGTTATTAATTGCAAAATTTCTACATCTGAAACGTCAAATTCCCTTTTCTCTTCAAATTCCAATTTCTCTCTTTTTTTTTTTTTTTTTTTTTTTTCCTTTTTAAATTCACTATTTTAATGTTTGCACACAGGCCACGAGAACACCGACCAGGGACTCGGCGGGGATAGCGCTGCTGCTGCGTTATTACAATCAGCTCTACTTCATAGAGAGGCGTTTCTTTCCGCCTGACAGGAGTCTCGGCATCTACTTCGAATGGTTCGATTCGTTGACAGGAGTACCCAGTTGCCAGCGAACGGTTGCCTTCGAGAAGGCCTCGATTCTCTTCAACGCCGGCGCGCTCTACACGCAGTTGGCCGCCAAGCAGGATCGCGTGACCGCTCGCGGTCTTGATCAGGCGGTCGACGCTTTCCTGAGGGCGGCCGGTACCTTCCGATATATCCACGAGAACTTCACGAACGCACCGAGCATGGATCTGGGCCCGGACATGCTGGAGATGCTCGTGCAGCTCATGCTTGTGAGTTTCTCTCTCTCTCTCTCTCTCTCTCTCTCTCTCTCTCTCTCTCTCTCTCTCTCTCTCTCTCTCTCTCTCTCTCTCTCTCTCTCTCTCTCTCTCTCTCTCTCTCTCTCTCTCTCTCTCTCTCTCTCTCTCTCTCTCATTACATTCTTATGTATCGCGTCATATTCAATATTAATTATTCATTATTGTGTCTTACGTTTCAGGCTCAAGCGCGGGAGTGCCTCTTCGAGAAGCTGGAGCTGCAATCGAGGGACGGGAGGAACGTTGACGTTTGCTTGGATCTTGCTCAAGAGGCTGCTCAGGTGGAGTATCTTTCTCGCGATAATGATTTTCGAGACGAACGAGTGCGAGTGCGAGTGAGTCGCTATAATCATTAATGCAGGTTGCGGCGATATACAACGACGTGCACGGATTGATATCGCGAGAGCCAGTTCGTGACTACGTCCCGGAGACTTGGATCTCGTTGATACTGGTGAAGCGCGAGCACCACCTCGCCCTTGCTCACAAGCATATCGCGGTCGGTCTGCTGGACAGACCGATCGCCGAGTTTCGCGTAGAAACCAGGCTCACGTTGGAGCACATTCAAAAGAGCGACGGGAAGACACAATTGGACGCCACCGTTCCCAGGGATGACAATGAGAGGAAATTGTTGGGTACGTTCGCGTCCATCCAATTTAATTTGTTTAACACACATATTGTTTGCAATTAACCGAGCCGGCTGTATTCAACTTTCTTCTTGACGTTCATTTACGCAGGCAAGGCGCATCTCAGAGAGGCTCTTGTTCTGCACGATGAGAGTCAACGACTGCAGAGAATGTGCCGCGATCTGAAAGCCAAGCAAGCGCTGGCGAGGGTCTTGAAGAAGGTGCAAGAAGCGACGCTCGATAGCTACAACAGATTCGGCAACGAGGACGACTTTCGAGAATTGCTGGATCCGCCGGATATTATCGGTAAACGGATATTTTATTTGAAAAATAATCAAAATCACAGTTTCTTTTAAACAGCCGATAGAAAATGTTAATCTTTAGTACTGTAATTCTCTTTGTCTTCTTTTTGCAATTACAGCTTCCACAAAATTCCAACTTAGCATCACTCATCCGGATTTCGGGCAGCACGGAGTGGATGATCTCTTCAGATCGTTGGGACCCGTAGCGATATTCTCGGCTAAACGGCACTGGACCGCGCCGCGATTGGTGCAGCTTCAACGAGGTCCTGACGGCGAGGGCTTCGGGTTTAGCGTACGGGGCGACGCTCCGGTTATAATAGCTGCCGTCGATCATAATTCGCTAGCTGATGTAAGATCGTATTTATTAACAACTTCATTTACGCTAGACCGTAAAATATATTTCTACGTGATATGCTCCATTTGTTTTTCCAATTTTATTAATCTTCTTTAATCGTTATGGCAACGAATTTTTAACAGATAAAGATCTTCTCTTCGTTTCGCAGGTAGCTGGAATGAAAGAGGGCGACTTCATAGTAGGCATCGGCGACAAGGACGTGAAGTGGGCGTCCCACGAGCAAGTCGTGCGGATGATAAAGCAATGCGGCGACTTTATAAACTTGAAGCTGGTCACACCCATGGACAGGAATTATTTAAAGGTGAACAGTCGCGTCTACAGCTGACATGTAACGACTGAATGTAAAAGTACCACGTTAGAGACTAATTATTTTAGAAACCAGGGAAACCGAACAATCACCACGACAAAGGCAGCGTCTCGGCGAGCAGCTCCTCCGGCGTCTCTTCGGGGCAGCCGAGCCCGGCGGGATCCGTCACTACAGCGCACGTAGTCAGGAGGCTGCCGTGGAACCCCTTCAAGAAATCTGGCGTTCAACGCGAGAACAGGGATCTAACCTTCGACAACGTTATCCTCAGATGATCGCCGTGCTGCAAGTTTTTTCAGGCGTCCGAGCTTAAAGCACGCCGCGACGACGAGTCTCGTTGACGGACTCACGCGTCGAAGATGAGATTCGCGAGAATTTATCTTCCAACCGCCGAGTATCGAGTATCGTTCAGCGATTGGTAATGGTATCAATTATTCGCGATTGCGACACGAGTAACAACAGTCCGTGACGCGCGTTTCTTACATCGCGTATATCGCGTCGATGTATTCGCGTTTCACGTATTTATACGCGACGAATATATATCTGCGCCGACATACGATGATCGGAGTCTTGTATGTACTCGTGTCGTGACACATCGAACGTTCAGCAATTGTTTATCCGTTATTAGTAAAGTTCGTGTAAATAATTATCTATAATAATATTCTCTCATCTTGAACAAACGTTACTTTCAGATTCAAGTCCGAAGAGTCTGCGGTTCGAGATTCAATTTTCTAATAGAACGCTGACATTTTTCGAAATTTCAATGATGTAATATTACAGATCCTTTGCTGACGAGTTTCTTTCCTTACGAACAACATAGTGCCAACACAGGCGTAGTACAAGCGACCCAATCACGTTGCAGGAAAATCGCCCGCAATTATGCGTCATGCGGGACAAGCATGTTTGGCACGACTGAATTAAATTACGTATTGCTTCTTGTCAGTTCGTTTATGTAAGTTTGTTTGTGCAGCGGTGAGAGGTGGATCAATGAAGAGAAATAGACGTACTGGCAAATGATCGCGTACCAGCGCGAGGCTGAATCGCGATAGCTTCGCGACTCGGTCGTGCTTGTACTTGGATTTTCGTTAAGTCGCTGGTAAGCGGGTTAAATATAAATCGGTCCTGTTTATGCAGCGTATTCGCGCTCGTGCGCGTCTGTACATTTATACATAGCATGTAGTATCGGTAGAGGCGTGTACACAGCTTTTTACTTTATATATATATATGTATATGTATATGTGAATATATATATATATATATATATATAAAAAGTATTATATATGTATATCAAAACGATCAATTATATCGCATACGTTAGTATGTGAGGAGCGATTTTTATTTCAACTTTCCCAGACGCGGATCTCTCTTATAATTATGTATATACGAGCAGCATGAATCATAGCACGACCGCTAGATCTTTCGCGAAAGCGAGTGTCGTATGAAGCCGTATGAATAACAGATACCTCGCAGGAATTTCTAATTGTAGAACGCTAATCGAAGAACGCGCAGGAGGAAAAACGTGCATTTTTTGCAATCGATAAACCGCACGGCGATATTACGCGCAGTATAATCGCCGCCTGTTTACGTGTCGTGAACCGTAATCCTTTAAGATCGAGATATAATTTCTCAAAATCGCGTTCTCTCGTCGTCCCTTGACCGTTGCAAGAATGAAAATAGCCGAGAGCCGTCTTTGTCGGGATGAACCGACGCTCGATACATTTCACGAATATGTAATGAAACTATCTCGCCGAGGTCGCGTCGAGGTCGATGCACTTTCGTTCCAGCGAGCCGCGCTGGAAGCTTTTAAGGTCGTCGGAGAAAGTGCAGCGCGGCTGGAGCGTTCTCGGAACGCGTTCTTAGCCGCTCAAACGGTACGAAACTTTCGACGCTCCAACTCGTACGACGGCCACGTGTTTCAATGACACACACACACACATCGACACGTGTTTCGAAGCACACTGACACGCTCAAAATTTATACTCCATAGTGCTTTCGAGACACGTGCACTTATTTTTATTTCTATTTAAATTTCACTGTAAAAATTATACGAAGCTATCGGCGCATTGAAGTAGCTCCTAGGTTCTAAGCACCCAAGTCCTAAAACTGCCGCATAACTTGTGTGTTTAACTGCAAAATTCTGCAAACATAAAAATTCCAACGATTCCAAGTGATCGCTTGCTTAAAAATGTTTGCTTGATATCGCTTGCTTAAGAATGTACTAACATGAAGCGTCTCGAGTGTCCCAAAGTCGCATGTCGCAAGTCTGTAGGGCACGACTTACATCCAATTAACTAATTTTCCACGTAAAGTAACACCTGCGTGGAAAAGCAGTTGTCAAGTGTGCCGCTAAGAAGCAACGTTTGTCGTAGCGTGAAGAAACTTCCCACTTAAAAATAGCAACGAGACGCGCGTATTTCTTCCGCAGAGCGATCGATGCCTCAAGCGTCACGCTACAACCGCGCGTTTCGCGCCTGGATGTATGCATTTTCGAGCAGCACCCGTTCCGCGCACCCTCCATTTTTGCGGCCTTGCGTACGATCGTCTATTTCGGGTCTTAATTAGCGCTGAAAATCTCACCTGTATCGCTCGCCGTCACGAGAATGCGCGTGTAATGAATCATCGCCTGGAAACATCGCGTTCCGCGCGAATTTCCTCGGTTCGTCCTATTTTTCGCGCGATAAATTACACCGCGCGCGCATTGAGCTGAGAGACAGCCTCACTCGACAATCCGCGCGCACGTCTAATTGGAGGAGGGGGGGAGGGGGGCTCTTAAATTTCCTATTAGTCACGGTCTCGTGAAACAGGCCCGTCGAGATTTCTACTTTCGTAACTCGGAGACGCGCGTGCACAAAAACGCCTTGTCGAGTCACGCGACGAGCACGACGGAATATTCGTTGCGATTCGTGGCGATACACGCGTCCAATAAGAAGACGAGATACCGACCTTAATATCGGAAAATCTTAATATCGCAGGGCGAAATAGAAAGGCGCGTTTCCCGATATAGCGCGCGCGGTGACTTTCAGCGGCGTCAAGAAACGTTGTTGTGAAACCAACGATCGATTGCGCAATAATTTACGTAGCCATCATGGCGGCCAGGCATGCGGCACGTCCGGCTTTAGTATTTGCGAATTAATTTCACGGGATAAAAGGCGAAATCAAATCAGCCGAGCGGCTCGACGGGCGAAGCGACATTTACTCGCTTCCGGATTGTCGCGCTTCCTTGTGTGTCTTTGTGGCGCGCGACAGGGCATTAAATTTCCAACGATGTCGTAACTATTCCCATTTTCACTTTTATTTATATATTAACGAACGTCAGTCTGTCTTTCTCTCTGGCGGCTCGAAGTCAGCCGCCAGAGAGAAAATGAGCGGAAATGAGCTCGAGAAATTTTTGTTTAGGCCAAACTTCGCGAACGTTACGCATGCAAGGGAAAGAAAAGTATTACAGAAGCGAGCGTTCCGAGGCGAACGCTCATTTGCTAAGACAAATTAGCGGAGCGGAGGCATGTTTCTGCACGGTTGAGTGCCCGCATTTCAGAACACCGCGAGATATCCTCCGCGAGTTTAGGCACGTCCAAGGTCCCTTTGCGGACGCTCGCATAATACTTTTCGTACGCTAAGCGAGCAAGTTCAGTCAACTCGTCGAGCGCGTCGTTCTCGATCTCTCTCGGCTTCGTGAAGAGCGTGCGATTCCACTCGCGGGGGTCTTCTTCGTGCCTGAGGCCTGGAACGATCAGCGTCGAAGCAACGAGAAGGAGACGGACGGAAAAGTCTCGGCGCTTTTCGTGCCGACTTGAAAGGAGCGAACACGCGCGGCAGAGAAGAAATTCTCCGATTTTCGATCGACAATCGCAAAGAGGCTCGCAAAGAGCCTCCCGGAAAGACGAAGGAGCTGGTCTCTCGCTGGACGACGTAGCCGGGGTGAGAAACGACGGTGATACTCATCGGAGCGCGATCCCCATTCGAAAGAACGGTGAAAGCAAAATGGAAGATTACGAGAAGAAAGTGAATCTCCCTCAGCGTCGCTCGGCGCGACGTTGCGCCTCTTTGGCGCTTTTTACGCCGAGGAAAGTAACACATCCCGCCGGGTCGGTACTTCGATTCGAGTCGCAGTCGCCGAGAGACTTCCATGTGAATTCGCGTTCGCAAGACGCGTCCGACGTTGAAGAAAGAATTCGCGCGGCGCGGCGCGGCGCGGCGCGGCGTGACTCGAGTTGCGACAGAGCTTTCTTTCCTCGTGCGAAAACTCGTTGGATTTTTCAAGTCACGTGCGCCGCTGACGCGAAGAAGGGGACTCTCATGAGGTATTATTTCAGGGCGTTCAAGAGAGAACGAAACTCAAAGGATTGCGTTTACGCGTGGGCGCTCAAGATCGGAGCATTCGTATTTCGTTACGCGCGATGTTCGGCGCTAAGTTACGACCGCCCGATTCGCGCGACTCGCTTTATTTGGCTTTATGCGAGTATCGCATAGGCGCGCGTGCGACGCGTGGAAATGCGCGTGCTTGGTCGACGTCATCGACATTACACGCGCGCGTTGTGAGCTAGTACTCGTTGGCTTTGACAGCTGACACCTTACGTCCGACTAATGTCCGTCGGCGCAGTCGCGCCTTCAGGTCTGTCTTTTGCGGACACCAACGACGAAGTGGATGACGAACGAGGCGTCACGGGTTGCTCGTTAGTTAGCAACCAGCGCGAGAGCCGCGCTAGTTTACGAGCCGAGTACTTTTAACGGAGGAATAAGCAGCGTTAACAAAGCAACTCGGACAGGAACTGTCCGAGTCGAAATTGCTCACAGCGCGTCGCGCTTTATTCCGCAAACAGCGTGTCGCGCTCGTCGCCATCCCAGACGGCACAGGAAGATGCGTGGAAAAATAGTAGAGCGCCTTTGAAACGTTCTTCAGAAGTTTGTGCCGTCTGAGACGCGACAACAGGAAAAATTAAGCTGAACTCGTTTCCGTCGCCGACGATTATCACTTGATGAGGCTCTGACCGACCGACGATCTGAAAGATCGTCCGACATTTGACTGCTCGATTATTTCGCGCGATTACTTCGCCGCTCGATCGAACTTGAAGTCAAGCTAACAGATAAGTGGAACTCGCGACGCGCGTCGCTTCGTCGTGTATCAGCTTTGCCGCGCGCTCTCGGTTGGTCGCGACTGCAAATTACGTGAAAGAAAAAGGCAAGCAATCCCGCAAATGATGACGCGAGACACATAAATGAATGAGACGTAATAATATTATTACCAGAGTCACTCTCCGCTGACCGCTCCTCTCCGCGGCAGTCAAGGTGCCAGGCGGCGAGTGCTCTCGCGCGGTCCTCTCGTCGAGATCCTCCGGTTGATTGTCGATCATCCCGTCGATCCCGTCGCCTGGAGGATCTTCTCAAGTTACTCGCGCATCTACTTGTGCGTGCGCTTCTACGTAGCAGCGGGCAGAAACACTTCTCGCGCCGCGAGAGAGAGAGAGAGAGAGAGAGCGAGAGAGAGAGAGAGAGAGAGGGGGAGAGAGAGAGAGAGAGAGAGAGAGAGAGAGAGACGGAGAACGTCGTGCCAGGTCGGGATGTAGGTGAAGGTCCTGAGAGTCTCCGTCCGCCGACGGAGCTAGGCACCACCGCCACGACGATCCCTCCTTAAATTGACCAGCCGGCCGAGCAACCGGGTTACTTCGTTGCACATCGTCCGACGGTTCACGTCTCTCTTTCTCTCTCTTGCTCTCTGTCTGACGTCTCGCACCTGCTGGTGCTCGTCGACTCGGTGTGTCGCTGCTAGATCGCTCGCCGCGTCGCGGATAGAACGCGAGTTCTCCGAGTCACCGAGTGCGAACCGAAAGCAGTGCGGAAACCGAGTTTCGCGATCCGAGAGAGAGAGAGAGAGAGAGAGCCGAGTCGAGCTTCGCTGATCTCGGCGAGGTGATCTCTCTGAGCTGAGCAACGTCCCGCTGGTACCAGGAAGAGGACGGATTCGATCGCCGAGGCGGGAAGACGCAGGAGAAAGTAAATCGAACAGACCCATTTGCTGAGCCGTCGAGTGCGCGCGATACTTTTGTGTCGATCGAGAACTCCCTTTGCGTATACGCGGTTGCATGCGAACGATTGGTCGAGTAACGCAGGACAGATATGCGCGATTTCGAAGCGAAGTGTGAATCATCGGAATGAAAAAGGTATTCCTTCCCGGAGGGATTTCTCGAGGGACGACAGGGAACCAATATCGCTCGAATATCCGCGGTCAAATATAAATTCCGCGCGGAGTCGAGGAGCGAGACACGCGCGCGCGCAAAGGAGGAAGAGAAAGCGAACGTCGAAAGGGCCGAGAGCGGGGAAGCCGGAACCTCAGCAAGCTTGTGATCGAGAGGTCGCACGACGAGAGAGAGAGAGAGAGAGAGAGAGAGAGAGAGAGAGAGTCCTGCGCTCCCGCGAGGCGCGATTTCGCGAGTTAATCCGGACGTACGCACACTCGGTCTCTCCCGTTGCACCGTCGTCTACGAGCGCGAGTGGAGTAAAAGTGGATCAACGCAACTCGCTCGCTCCATCGGCGATCGAGAGAGGCGATCTATTCCGCGCGACGGTCATTTCAACGCGCGAGCGTTCCTTCGCGCTTTTCGGAACATTCCAGTTGGCTCGCTCGCGCGGAGGGCTAAACAAGCTAAACACGCTAAATCGTCTCGCGGACTCGCGGACGATATTTCGGGAACGACGGTCGCTAACGACCGTCAACGACCCGCCGGGAACGACGTGTACGGGTTCCGTACGCGCGTTTTACGGTATTATGCGCTTCGCTTCTCGCGATAGGATAGAAAGTCGGGTGCGCGCGCGCGCGCGCGGTGAATACCGCGAGCGGACATAGAAACGCGCGTTCCCGTTGCGCGCGACGTCGACGTCTCGCTTTCGTTTCGCGAGTCGCTCGACCCGCTCAGCATATACCCGCGCGGAATTGCGAGGAATTACAAGTGGACCGCTTGTCCAATTGTCTTGATGACGGCGGAGGATCCCGGAGGAGCCGCGAGCTTCTACGTCCGCCGACGCCCGCGGTCGTTGGAACGTGAAGAAGACGCGCGCCTCTCGCCGCGAGTGAGAGATTCATCCTCGCCGAGGCCTCGACGACGAGGAGGCCCGACACCTTTAGAAACTAGCGTTCGTTATCTTGACATGATTCCCCGGCCGACTGATACCGTGACACTCGGGCCGATGTGCTTTCTCTTTACGCTCCATATCGTATCAGCGATTCCTCCGACGAGCGGCCGAGAGAGTAAGCGGGCGAGCTGGCTCGCCAGGGTACAACATAGTCGAGATTTCCAGTTCGATTTGCCTTGTTCGTTTTAACGTCCGCGCCTTTTCTTCGCATCGCATCTCCGGCCTCTTTTAGCCTCATCGCTCGTGACGCCGAGCCGTCTCTGTTTTGCACGAGGGACGGCCTCTCACGCGGTACTGTTTCCCATTCGATTCGCCGATTTCTCACATCCTTCATCTCGCGTAAACGTCGTCTCAACTTGGACTTTGACACAAGCGGTGAAGTAAAGCGAGAAGTCGCTTCAGCCGGCGAGACGACACGTGGCCTGTTGACCGAGCAAGAACCGACGAGTTCCTCGACCTTGACAGTGAACGTCTTCATCCTCGCGATACCGGGTTGCTTTTTGTCAAAAAGCGCGCTTCGCTACGCTCGATCGCGAAAATTAACGAAAATTCCCTTCTTCTCAATTCTCCACGATTTCTCGCGATTTTCTCGCCGACGCGACGATACAAGAGCGGACTCTTAATTCCGAACTCGAAGGACTTCTCAGGAGACGACGAGGTAAGTTTGCTCGATCGACTCGGGATATGATGTCGAGTTACATCTTTCAGACGATGGTGACGGAAGGACAGCAACGGGAGCAGGAGCGGGAGCGGGAGCGGGAGCAGGAGCAGGAGCAGGAGCAGGAGCAGAAGCAGGAGTACAAGAGCACACTGAGCATGGAGACGCTGGAGATAGCTAGGCTGGAGCTGCGCGAGGACGACAACACACGGGAACAAGCGCTGGAGCAGTTCCGCAATTGGATCCAGAAGCACCCGGCGATCAAAAAGTGCCGCACCGACTCGTTGTTCCTGCTGCGTTTCCTCAGGACGAAGAAATTCAGCCTGCCGATAGCGCAGGAGATGCTGGAGCGCTATCTCACCATCAGGCAGCTCTATCCCGACTGGTTCCAGAAGCTCGACATCGAGGACCCGGACCTCGAGGCCATCATCGACAGCGGCTACCTGGTGCCCTTGCTGAAGCGGGACCAGCACGGCCGCAAGGTCATCCTGTCGTGCGCGGGTAACTATCACGAAGACCTTCTAAATTCGACGAAATTCAGGCGGGGCAACTAGAAACATCGGCGAAACATCGACTCGAGAGACCGTCTCTCGCTCCTCTCTTTCTCCCTCGAATAACTTTGAACGAGCTGCCGTTTCAGGCCGTTTCGCATTGCAGATGCTTTCCGATGAGGCGGCACCTGCTGATCGCGTCCGCTGATTTCTCCGTGAAATTCTTGATACTTTCGCACGCGATGATTGATCCGCATCTCTCCAACCCTCTCTACACCCTGTCGCGTTGTCGCTCCTCAGGGCGTTTCGACCCGTACAAATTCTCGTCGGTGCACATGGCGCGAATCCACAGCATGGTGGTGGAATCCCTGATGGACGACGAGGAGAATCAAGTGCGCGGCTACACGCACATCAACGACGAGTCGGGGCTGACGATGGGCCACCTGAGCGCGTGGTCCTTGACGGACATCCGCAACATGCTGAGGTGCATACAGAACAGCACGCCGATGCGTCACAAGGAGACGCACTTCATCAATATTCCCGGCAGCGTGGCGAAGATCATCGAGTTCGCTATCTCGCTGCTCAACGACAAGCTCAAGGCGCGCGTAATGGTAAGCGTCGCGAATTATGTTAAGTATGTGAGTACATTCGCACGGCGGCTGTGCGTGTGAGAACGTTTGTAACGTCTTTCTCTGCGATGCTCTCTCTCTTCCTCGCGCAGATGCACAAGGACATGGACGAGCTGCGAGAGGCGATCGAGCCGAAGATACTGCCGAAGGAATACGGCGGAGAGGTGCCGCTCGCGGAAATGATCGGTACGAACGAGCTCTCTCTCTCTCTCTCTCTCTCTCTCTCTCTCTCTCTCTCTCTCTCTCTCTCTCCCTCTCTCTCTCTCTCTCTCTCTTCCCTTTTGCCTCGGATTGGACCTCGTCGCGAGGAGATCACTCGAAAAGAAGCGGCAGGAAACGTGCGAACAGACGAGACGAAATTTCAATTTTCCATTCATTTCCATTCAATTGGAGTAGAATAGATTCTATTGGATCGGCGAGGTAAAAAGACACGCTAGAGTAATTTATTCAAAAAGTTACAGAAGTCGTTCGGAATACAGATACAACTGGTGCCTCGGCGATTCGTGAATATCTTTTCGATTAGTGCCGTTGTCATCCATAATTCATAACGCGCGTTATAACGTACGTTCCAGCCGAATTCAAGAAGGAGCTGAAGCGCCAGAGAGGCCAGCTCAAGGCTCTGGACGAGATGTACATAGAGATCTCGCCGAAGGATTACCACGCAGCCAACAACGACGAATTCGGCGGAATATGCGGCTCCTTCCGGAAATTGGAAGTCGACTGAATCCGCTTCCGCTGTGACCTGGTGAACTTCATCGATTGGCCCCGCGTCGCCGCACATATCGATACCGACGAGCAGCCAAAAAAAAAAAAGGAAAAAAAAAGGAAAAGCAAAAAAAGAAATTAAAATGTTTCATCCTTAATGAAGTCACATGTACACAAGAGTTTGAGAAGCTGAGAGTTGCAGAAATTGTTATCATGTGTCACATACACGCGAATTGTTGAACATGTTGAACATGAATATACTAACTGAACTTTCCAGTACTTGCACTAAGAAGCTCGGCTAACTAGCATTTATCACATAGTTATATATGTGTTTCTCTCTATAAATTTTAATGACAAGGATATATATATATATACACGTATACACACACACAAACAGAGGAAGGTATGTTTAATTAGTCGTAGTTAGCGCTAGCAGAGTTGGTGCAATCGGGTTTGCTTGTGAAAGAAGAGAAATCCGACGGAGAGTAATACCTCGAGAGAGTGTTGCGAGTAAGCACTATATATATATATTAATTTATACAATAAGCGTATGACCGTAACAATTACGGCTCATTAGTGCGCGCGAGCACGTAATGCTCGTTCTGCTGGTGGTACCAAGTTACCTATGATCTGTAAGTCATTAGCCCGACTACGCGTTAAGACGAACTTGTAACTTGACACACGTTCTTCGTCGCTGCTGCAACAGAACGCGTCGTTCCGATTATAAGACCTGCACTTAACGATCGCACCGTTTTAATTAGCAGACGTTTCATTCGATCGAGTCAGGGAGCAAAGTTATTAGGTACGTGCATACAGATTCGTGTTACATTCGTTGATTTACGTTTTTGTTGGAGTTTCTAGTTTATCCTTAATAACCGACGAGACGCGAGAAAGCGGGGTCTTCGATAGAAGACCCACTTTCATCGTTCTTTTACAAAAGCGTAATCGTGATTACTTAGTTATTGTTAGTTATCGTAATTATACGAATTGTGATGTCGATTGAATCTCTACTATATAGTCTACATCCCCACTAATGTCTGGTATGTGTGGGGGAACGCAAAAGGTGACCGTGTGATTCCGTAAATCTCTCCTTCGACGCGAGATTATATGTAGTAACACAAGACATCTAACAATCGAGCGGCCGCGTTTGGCATTGAATCCGTGATGAAAATACAGGTTTACGATCTTGATAAACTACTTAATGTTATTCTAGGCACAATATGACAGACGTTCATAGTAGAAGTAACACTCTTATAAATAGTCTCTCACGAATTTATATTATAGATATATATATATATATATTATCTGAGCAAGAAAATATTTTATTCTATTCATGGTGATTTTTGAAGAGGGTATATCTTTACCAAATAAAATTTGCAAATACTGCAACCTGTTTCATTACAACGTAAAATATTTATTCTTTATTAAAGAAGCGTAGATCAGTTTACGAACTCAAAAGAGATTATGGACACTATCAATTGAACATTCGATTGAAAGCATAATGATATATAATATTCATCGATGCTGTATACAAACAGAGTCAAAACTCACATGTTACGCATTATGCGGCGACATCGTTCAGTCAATTATGCATAGACACGTGAAAACGCTTCGACGATACAGAACTGATTATGTAAGTATAAACTGAACGTTCTTCTCTGTATATATAGCGCGCATTAATCGTTGATTATCAATTCTTTTAAAAATTTTGTGTTGGGTGGAGCTGTTGTGTAAAGACTTCCTAAAATTAGAGAAAGAGAAATCGAAATACAATCTAAATGCTGCAAACACGTTATTCCGATTGTCGAAACAGCATTATAAATGCTGAAATGTTCCCATTTCGATAAATATAGATAATTGTTTCATTACCGGCCGTTGTACACCTATAAATACGATTATTTGTACGTACCAACAAAAGTTCTCAAGCTATTTTCACAGGCAATAACCCGGCAATTTTTTTTTTGTTCTATTTTAAATCCTAGGCAACGAAATCTCTCGTCGGTTTTGTATAAATTATTATCTTTTCGAGGTGTAAAATAAGGCTGTCCACTGAAAGGATTGATAAAGTCTGCCCAAAAACCATCCATTTTGAGTTTTAGGCAAATGTCCACAGCTCCTAGAACAAACTAACAGACTAATATTGTATACATATGTTACTGACTGCTACCTGCTAGATTTTCTTCTAATATAAACTCTATGTTATGTAACTCACGTATTTGGCAAGTTTCTCCATTTCAGAGTCGGTACGCCATTTCAATGATTTACGATTTGCCTTTTGACTAATGGTTATGATAGTGAGGTCTGAAGAAGTTAGATCCAAGACTGTTCCAGGAAATAATTCCTCAATACTTTTTCGCAAGAGAACAGGACACTCTTGTGCCACACATTCTAACATTGGATTTATAGTTTTCCATTTCCTCGCATTTGTTTGGTATTTATTACTATTGTTATTATTATTATTATTATTATTATTATTATTTAATAATTTCTCTAGTTTCTCTAGTTTCTCGCCACTGTATGTTTCAAAGAATTGAGTTTTCATTTGAGCAGTGCTTGTAGCATCTAGCCATGCAAGTCCAACACTTCCGGGGAGATAAAACCGAAAGCCATCTGGTGTTAGCAACTCCCAATTAGAATTGGTATCTAACACATTGCTTTGAACATCTGTATATAATTCATATAATTATATATCTTCAATCTATTCACATAATACTCCAACTATACAGTTAAGTTCTTTTGACAAATATCTTTGAGACAAATTTGAATGAAACCTAAATCAATTGTGATATACTTTGGTACAGTGCTGAATAATATGAGATCTATGTAAGCTAACAAGTTTTTCTTTTTTATTATTCTTTTCTTTTATGGTGTTATTCTTTTTTGGTGTAGTAATCTTCATTGAGATATCTATGCAAATTGATGAGCCAGCAGCTCTTGAGATACAGTATAGTTCATTATGATATCTATGCAAACTTGTGAGCCAATAATTCTTCCTTTGACATTGTATAGTTCATTATGATATCTATACAAACTTGTGAGTAACAGTTTCTCTGTTGACATTATACAGTTTCATAAGATAGATTATTACACTATCGCTCAAGAAGTAAGTCATTAATCTGATATTACCAATTAATTTGGCTCTAAAATTTAACCAATATACCATTAACGGGAATTATTTGGGAAAAGAATGATGAACTGAGGAGTCACTTGCCATCCATGGAATCACCATTAGCGTTGATGTAAGAACCCGTGTTCCTGTCGCTGCGACGTAAAGAAAGAGTTCTCAGGAGCATGTTGAACAGCGACGGAGCATTAAAATTTCTGCCATGTCTTATACAAAGCATCTGGAAGGTTAGAGGCGTTAGAGAGGTTACTGGTCACAATCGTGAACGAGTTGTTGAAGCGATTACTTCAGGCTTACAATTATCATTAATTACCGTTAGGAATAACTGCAGCACATTATAAGGAACACAGACGAAATGAACATAATAGAGCGATGAAAACAATTCTCTATTTATATCTTTCGTTCATATCGTTCATATCACACAACACATCACTTGTCACATAGAATAGAAATTAATGTTCGATCACAGATAGTCGAAGCTCGATTCTCTCCTCATTAAAGAATCGATTATTTTTCTTGATGTTATGAAATTCGATAAATACGTGTATCGATTGTGCCACGTATTCGATATTTTGAATGTCATCACGAAGCCAGTTCTTCTCGGATTACTTTTCAATTGTAAAATTCGTCTCTGGCTTGTACCTTGAAGGAAAGGTCTGCGCGACTGACTGTTCGGTCGTGTTGCTAAGAGATAAAATCACCCGTGACCGTCATTCGTACTACTGAAAAAAAGAAGAGATCTCGCCCCCGACTTGGTTCAGTTCAGTTCAATATATGGCTTCGGACTGCATTCAGCTTTGTCCATACGCCATTTTCCAGTAGTATGAAGGGTAAAAGAAAAACAGGGACAACGCGTACGCAGTCCCCACGATCAAAAGATATGCGTAATTACAGAAACCACATCCAACCGCCACGGAGGCGAACTAAGACTTAAAAACCTCGCCCGATTTATCACTGGGCCGCACCACGATCTCAATTGAAACGGTGGCGACTCGCAACGAGGCAATTTGAAACTAACAAAAAAGTTACTTAACCGATAATTAAACCTTTTTCATTAACACAACGCGTGTTTCTTCACGACGCCGTTAGATGGTACCAGGTGACCGAGCCGCCATTATTCCTACGGACGAGAGCACGGCTCGATGGCGGTGGAGGACGAGGATTTTAATTTTAATTGATGCAACTCGACGGCACACAGGCCAGAGGTACTTTGTTTTCACTTAACCTGACCATCGATCAATCCGCTCTTTACGTGTAATAAGAACGCAACAAAACATATTGATCGATCGCCGCTCTTGTTTCTCATGACGCGGCATTTACACACGTTTAACCCTCAATTTGTCCGCGAGTATCATTCGATATTATTGCTCCAATAATTGATCAGATGTCGAACGATTGAGTAAAAATCACGATTGAACCGATTGTTATCAGCGTCTTTGGGATACAATCACTTGTCGTGATTCGACATATTTTATTACCGATCCTTCCGATCGGTCGATTTTTTCTCAACATTATTCACCCCAGCAGTTATGCGACAAGTGCTGCCATCTGCGGGCATTAGCGGAAGACAGTTGGTTAACCGCCATTAATCGAATCTTTCATTTCGGCATGATCTCTCGAGCGCACCGTCACGTTGAGATTTAGAGTCAGGTAATTCATCATTATTACGAGAATCAATATATCGCTTCGTCGTCGTACGTAGCTCGTACGGAAACTCGCTTTAAATACATATTCGGCAGCATAAATGGCGCGAGACAATCGCCGATTGAAGAGAGATATGCAAATTTATCCTCGTTCCGCGTCGCGAATAGTCCTTCGCGACGGAATGAACAATATACCTGGGGAGGGGGAGGGGGCGTGATCATATTCCTTCGAACGTCTCGATAAGCGATCGTCGGAAAAGAATCAAAGTCCGAAGATAATACGTTAATAAAGATCAACATTAAGACGGAGCATGTTGATCGTCTCGTTGTAGCTCAAAGGCCGGCGTAACGGTCGCGACATTTGTATCACTGCGACGCTGCCGCGATTTTCGACCTTACGCATAGGCGTGCGCACGGTCGAAAGTCGCAGTCACTACGTGTCGAGGCTACGATCGACTTTTGCACTTGGGCGGCCATTTTGCATTTTCGTTACTCTCGAAGACGATGCACCTTGTGCTGCTTCATCGCCAGCGAATAAGAAATTTCAGATTTACGTTGAAATTTTAACGTCGGGAAACATAACGGCTATCCGGCAAATAAAACGGCCTTATTCCCATTTGTAGCGCAGGTGGTCGTAAATTACGACTCGAGGAGGGGAACTACCGCGACTATCGAAGATGGGTTATGATCGCCGCTCGATCGAGTCGGCGGCAACGTACATCGGTAGGTATTAGGCAAAATCTCTTTATTGATTACACTTTACAGTTACATTCTTTACTGGGTCGTGATAATCTGAAAAAGTTCGGTCTCGTGAAATAAAACGCCAAGCGCGGGAGCTGGATGGGTATGCACATTATATTTTTATATATATATGTATACTATATAATAAGTTGCTTTGTAATTACGGCAAATACGTTTCTTAGTAAAATGACAAAATTCACATAAATACGTATACGTTACACGCTATTAAGGGGGGCTGGGGGACGGGGACGGGGGTGTAGCTCATCCGCGATCTCGTTTCTTTGGCGATCGAGTGCCAACGATACGCAATATCGCGGGTATACGATATATTTTTTTCTCTCTTATTCATGTATGTATATATATATATATTTATATAAAGATCTAGTACACGGGATAAAAACATCGTAAGAAACTAATTACGTCGAATTATCTCTCGTCTTCAAGTGGAATCACGTAGACGCTCACCCCTTGGCGTCCGACAATTGAACCTTTCGCGTTCCTCTCGAATATTTTATATCGGTAATATACATAAATATATCGATAATGAAGCACCGTCGAAGTATAAGCACCGTCTCTCTCGCGTCTCTTGCTTTCCCGTCTTTATCATTAATCTCTAGACGTCGAACTGCGGCGATCGTGCGTCTCCGTCTCCGTTTTATCTCGATGAACCGCCTCTCCGTGCAAAAGCTTTTTCTAAGCGCGCAATTTTTCGCCTCTTGCAGGCCTCAAACTCACGGATTCATCGTTTTGGCTTCGAAGACGGAAAAAATGGCAGATCGCAACGGAGCTGTCGAACGATTCGTGGACATCTCGACGGTTGTGTACGTGCATGCGTATGTAAGTGAAAGAAAGACGTCAGTTCGATGAATTGTGGAAAATTGTATCTAAAATACATAAAATGTGTATATACAATATACAATATAGAAGTGAAGACCTTCATACACACGAGAATGTAAAGATTTCGAGTAGCAAAGAGTAGCAAGTAATCGGTACAAAGAAGTAACGAATTCAGGAGAAAGGACAAGTCCTAAGATACAAGTAATTCTCGTATTAGAGTTTTCAACTTGAATCAAGTCCTAGAATGCGTGAGATTTTAGATAAATCGAAATATCGCACCTACCGACGTAATTCAATCTACGAGCGTATTTTTTTCGAAGGCTAATGTTAGCGAGAAATCATTCGGACACGCGCGGAAAATGTGTAAACACTTGGGAATGTGTTTTCAAAATATTGTACAGATAATTTGTAGACGTTCTATACGGGAGCGGGATCAACCGTACACGCGTACTACTACCAGTGTTGTCACTTTGAATGTCGCGCGACCTTCGGTAGGTCGTGTTTACTTGAGCGCGCGCTGTACCGCATAATAATCGTGACCGCGGTAGAGTAATGACGTCGGAACGAAATTCTCCGTCGTTTTCGACGGATTTTTAATTTAAGCGAAGTTGCTAACAATGCGCGCGAACAGACGTGCCGCGGTCGTCGTGCCGGACACATCACGAGTAGTAATAGCCACAGATCTAAAAGGTATCCATCATTTCCCGTGTTTCGCAGATTTAAAGAAGGAATACGATCAAAGTATCTCCTTTTATCATTAACTTGCATATACCGGGAGTGTACCTCTCTAGTGCTAATTAGAAAAACTACAATTTTTGTTTCAGATCTCTGACGAAATTTATAGCCGTATCGCCGAGGAAAATGTGCACGTCAAAAGATGCGGATGCTGACGCGAGTGTGGATGTGGATATGCTGAAGCCGTACCGGAGGATCCGGTTCGGGCCAAGCTGAGCCGGCTCGAAGGTGAGTTCTCAGACTTTCTATCTTTTTGCTTTGAACCCTTTGCTGTCGAAAGCAGAAGCACTCGGTCGCTCGACCGAGAAGGAGTGAAATTGCGACTGCAAAGGGTGGTTAATCCGTTCGCATCTGTATGTGCACTTGCTGGTTAAATCGAATTCCTGAATCTCTAATCAAATCGTTTTCTCTTTCTGTTGCAGAACTCACAGCTGAATGTGGCCGGGGCTCTGATCTTCTGTGGTTCGGTGAGTGAAAAAATGAACTTAACGTGTAACTGGTTTGATGGTATTTTTACGAAAATTTACTTAAATAGTGGACTTTTACGAAAGTTAATTTAAATCAATGCGATTTACACTGCACGTTGACTTTTGCATGCTGGTTTTTTATATATAATGTATTAATATTTGCGTGTTGTTTAAAACACACTCATATCGCTCAAAGCAATTAGAGAATCACGCGACTTTATCGCCACCGATTTAGCAAAGATTTTAAATATTTGGACATTTGTGAGATATAAAGCGTGAGTGAGATATTCTGAATTAATATCTAATTTCATCTTTACTAAACATATTTATACACACACACATACACGTACAAACCTAACGTTTCAATTTTTTTTTATTTTCCATTCGTGTCGTAAGATTGACTCGACAAGGCTAAATAAATGTACTTATTTATTCAGTGTGATTTCTAATTGCTCGAGCGATATATATATATATACAAAACGTATCGAAATATTACGCCACCTCTCGCCGAGCTCGGGATCATTTCGCCCGAGCTGATGCAGACTCGGCGATTGTCGCGATTATTAATTCGGATTTGCTGGACGCGTATTTGCGTCGCGATTGCATTTGCACAAATTAAACCGAGAGTCTTGTGTTAATTTCAACATCGCGGAAATACACTTTACCTACAAATACTGCGAAACAATTTCTCTTGCTCTTGCGGGGATACGGTAACTATCGCCCGCGACAACACAACGACCGGAAATGTAAACAAAGTTTTTATTCATTCACGCGTAACGGACGCGCGCGTAAGAATACGAGTGCGTCGAAACGAAAAGCGATTCTACCGAAGTTTTTAACGTTAATAAAACAATCGACGCGGGAATCCGAACAGTCGCGATGATATTTCGTTTTTAGTGCTCAGTCACTTTTGCGTTTGTTGCGATTATTATCTTCCCCGCGTCGCCTCGATCCTTCCCAGGTCGCGTTAATCGAAGCCGCGATAAATCAACACTCTTTACACCGACGCCGCCGTTAATTCGTTAAACGGCGTTGAATCGTGAATATAAATCGCGTCGCAGTATTACTGCGGCAAAGTGCACTAATAATAAAGTGCAATCAACGTGGGACAACGCGGGACGGAGGGTGGACGCGTGGGATTCAGAATGCAACGGCTAGTCCTGGTAGACGACCCGACTCGACATCGCTCGAACTCAACGAAACGGTGAGCGCTGAACTTCAAACAGTCACCAAGTGTTTTGTTATTTCATGCATGCGTAATATAGGAAATCGCATTGATCGCGAAAGTAAGGTCAGTTCCGCCGGTCAAAGTCGCGGACAATCGAGTCAGCCTCGATATTTGACATTGAAAGCGCGACTAATTGCGCTACTACGACATATTTCACGGTAACAACGATAAAGTTCGAAACGCGAATGCGCGGCGTCTTTTACGCCGGGACAAAATCATTTTCCACTCGAGAGAACTGATCTTACACACACTTTCGAACCATTTGTACG